TTTACCGCTACCTAACCTAACCTAACTTATAGAGATAGGTTAGGTTAGGTTAGGTAGGGTTGGTTAGGTTCGGTCATATATCTACGTTAATTTTAACTCCAATAAAAAAAAATTGACCTCATACATAATGAAATGGGTAGCTTTATCATTTCATAAGAAAAAAATTTGAGAAAATATATTAATTCAGGAAAACTTGGCTTACTAGGCAAATCGGGTCTTGCATAGTAGGCTGAGAAGTGCGTTCTGGCTACTAGGTACGACATATATATATATATATATATATATATATATATATATATATATATATATATATATATATATATATATATATATATATATATATATATATATATAGATATATATATACACACACACATACACATATACATACATATACACACACATTCATACTGTACATTTATTTGCAATTTTCTGAATGCTGTCTAATCAGTGACAGAAAAAGGTAAATTCGATATGTACTTCCAGTATTTATTAAAAATTAAAAGAGAATAAACCATGAATAAGACTGTACATGATGAAACAAATCCCTATCTTTTCAGAATTCAATAATTACATTTCTGTAAATACTGTACTTTATAAATTGATTTTATCTATTCTCATCCTATAAATTAATCTAAAAATTTATTTCATCTTCTTTTTGTTTCATGACGCTCCTGGAAGTCGCCTTCTATATCACTCGCAATAAAAGGTACCGCCACAATATACCAACCCATGGATTAAGAAATAACTTTACACATCAAACACTGAGAAATATATTTTCCAGGTGCCTCCATGCTCAGAAGGGAATTCACTAGGGAATTTACAAAACAAAGAAGTACTACTGCACCCATGGGCAAACAATTTATCTTGAAGAATTGCTGGAAAGAACTTTGCCTAGCAGCAAACAAAATTGGCGAGAAATTAAATTACGACAAAATCCTTGCCGATATTTTGAGAACAGCATCCTCAAAACATGGAAATTGACTCTCAATATTGACCACACTCAGGCTTCATCTATTTGTTCCTCAAGACTGTCAAGACACCATTACTCCTCCAAGTCAGACCAAGGCTCATGATGATGCAATTGACACTGTTCTGTACGAACGACAGCAGGCAGGCAAAACCCTGAACAGGGTAAGGGAGTACCCGACAAACAGAAAGTAATGAGTCAGAGAGGTTGTTTCAAGCTAGGGAAATACAGCAAGTGGGGTCCCACAAGCTTTGGTCCTGGGACCAAAACCTTGACCCTATTCAAGCCAAAGAATCAATTATGAAAAAATACAAAAATTAGAAAGTCCTTTTTTACAGAGTGGGAAATGGATCGAACAAGATAAGTGAGAAGAAAGTGAATGCCAAAAACCGTTAGTAGTTTCAAAGCATCATACGATAAAACAGCCCATCCTCTTGAGCATTCAGTCACTAAACTGATGTGTTAAATTGCCCGAACCTAACATAACTGAGAACCTTCGAATAGGAAACTGGACATCATGTCAATTTTGCAAGCAGCTATGGTGTTTAGTACATCACATTTTGGCCTTAGGGAATTTATACGTCAAAATGCAAAGTATTATTTGAAAGGACGGCTTGGACAAAGTACCAAGAAGACGGGACACCTCAATTATAACTCTCGTCCTGTAACTACACTCTGGTAATTACACTGGAGACTATTACCTTATTTATAAGCATGCCACCAAGGGATGGGTGTTTATCAGGGAGAATACTTTATTGTAAAACCTGGTTCCTCTGCTGGGAAGCTCAACAATCTTCACAAGCTATAAGACCAAATTACAATAACTAAGACAATAATAACCAAAGCACACCTCAATATCTTATGCCAAATAGTTAAGCATACAAAATTGGTGATTTTATTGGAATTGACAGTCACACACTAAATACTTTAGTTCAATGGAACATTTAAGGTATGAACTAAAGACAGCAATTTGCAACGACAATCGAATAATCTGAAACATCTGCACAAGTTCTGCATGGAGAAATGCTAAAACAGTACTTACCAACATGTGACAGAGTACAGTATTTAAAAAGATTTCAGTAAAATTCTTCCTTTGGCTTTCAAAGTCAGGAGGATCAACCAAATACCAATTGCTGGAGTGAATAATTTTGAACAATTTATTATATATATATATTTATTTAGCAAATTGAAATTATTTTAGGCAGCACAGTTATTGTTTTATCTAAGTATTAGAATTGTTCATGTTTCAATTAAGTTATGCCTCAAGGACTGAATTTCCACTTGTTAAAACCCAACTTTCAAATGAATTATATCTATGTGATAAATTAGAGCCAACTGAAACTGCATTACTTATATTTTTGTATTAGTACGAGTTCAAATGTTTATATTAAGCTTTATTTTAATAGCACTTGCCACAATTGACACCACAAGCACTCATAATCTGCATCACTTTTGTCTCCCGACACGTAAGTTTGGAAGAAAGTGATCACTGATAAAGCCCTGACTTTAGAGGAAGCTAATGTTCCTAGAACCACTGTCATATTGAAGAAGTGCAGTTGAAAAGAGTGCAATACAGATAAGTAGACATCGGGAAAAAGGGAGAGACTAATTATGAAGAGTTAAATGTACAAGCATCTTGCTGCTGTACATTTGTCCTTGCACTACAAACACAAGGCAATTAACTCTTTAAAACCAACAAAATGAAATGACACATTCAAAGATATGTGAACGCTAACCTGTGATGAATGTGTAGCTGTGGCCGGGACTGGATTAGGACCATCAACATTTGGTCCTTTCTCATCGATGGAGTGTAGAGAACAGACACAAGTGTCCTCCTTGACTACATCTGCTGAAAACCCTTCCCCTTTGCAGACTTGTACCCAGCGTTGACACTTCTTGATATCACAGCATGGCTTCAGAAATGAGATAAAAAAAAAGAGCCCTCTCATGTAGTCGCAGTTTGGCAAATCAAGAATCACTGAGGTACAGTGTGACAACAATGCTCCATGCCATCGTGTGATAAACCCTTAATTTGACAGATGATAAATGCTGTCATCAACTGTCTGAAAGTTCCGGATCTCAAACCTGGCCACCACACACATGCCAAGGAATAAGCTACCTTTAGCTAGAAGGTAATTGTGGCAAGTGCTATCTGCAATTATCAGCAAAAGCTGATTTAAAGTCTTTAATAAACCCAGATATCTGTTTGAATAACAACTTAACTTCCTACATACAAAATAAAAATGATTCCCTCGGCTATAACACCAAGCAGTTAAGCTAAACAGCTTTGACTACCATCCAAATAACCAGAAGTAGTTTTCCATCTTCTTTCACAGAGCTGCATGTCTTTCCAGTATACATGGCAACAGTAATTCTCTTAAATTGTTCCTGTATACCTACTATCAATTGCATTGATAATAGGTTTGCACGAACCTCTCCCCTCTTTTTGTCTTGCTCCCTCTCCCCCCCCCCTACAATATTAAGAATGACACAATAAGAGCAAGTATTAGTATGTCTTTATAATTAATGGTATACAGAATAGAATAGTCCTACTTTCATAACTGTGGGTCCACCTTCTGTTTTCTCTGCCAGGGGAAGAGAGAGGGCTGAGCATACGTTATTTGTTTTATGATACTACGGCCTAATTTTGAAAAAAAAATTTATTTATAAATTTTAGCAATAAATTTTGTAATTTTCCACATATCAGTAAAAAACAAGCGTTGAATGTAATGAAACGCCATTTTCTAGGCGAGCCCCAGAGGCTCTCTGGAGTTATTGGGCTAGTGTGTGTTATATTAAAAAGGGGATTTAGTCTATGGAGTTAAACCTACCAGGGACCATGGCCAGAACCTGGCCTCTTCAGAAAGGTTTCAGAAAGCAATGGCCCTGGAACCACCCCCCCATCCTCATGGTTAGGTGTTTTCCTTATCTGACATCGACTGGGGTTAGGCACCCAGAAAGGTAGGCATAACAAAACAAACCCCACATGGTAATAAACTAAAAACCAAACAGAAAGGTAGAACTCCCTCCAATCCCAAGAAAACAGGCAAACGTCACACTCCACTGCCGCACAGCTCGTCCACTCAGCCCTCCCAGCGCTGACTACTCAGTCATCCACTTCGGAAGCTAAGTATCAAAACAATGCGAGAAAAAAAAACCCTGCCGACTTGAGGAAGGGAGGGTTGCCAGGGAGCCTTTGGGGCTCACCCAGAAAATGGTGTTTCATTACATTCGAGCTTGTATCAAGGTCACCTCCCCTTGGCTGAACTACTGATCTTTCCCTGAATGCAACCACACAACAGCTGCCTAACTGCCAGGTACCTATTTACTGCTAGGTGAACAGTGGCATTAGGTGAAAGTAAATGTACCCAAATATTTCTGTCCGGCCCAGAAATTGAGTTCAGGATCCTGGACTGTGAGTTGAGAATAAAGCCAACTGGCTTTAGTGTTTGTGTACAAGAACAATAAGGAGAATGAGATTGTCATGTATGCAAGATTATGATCAAGTGTATGAGGTGGACATTCACTGCTAAAGGCAAATGAGTTTGCTCAAACCTACCTTATTGTGAAAGTTTTCATACAACGATATTTGAATAAATTATTTAGACCAATTTCTACATTACTGAATATTCTGACTGGACCTAAGATGGTCACTTCTTCCCCAGATGACTAGATTCTTAGTAAGTTTTTTTTTTTTTTTTTTTTTTTTTTTTACAAATATCAATTCGCTTGAAGGCTGTCAAGGATAGGAATTTTTTTACAAGTTGTTTACACTAGAAACATGGCACATTCCATTTCTCTTGTTAATAATCTTGTCTAGGCAAATACACATTTTTGAAATATCAATCATAACATGGAGAATAAAATCTACAATGAAGGAAATGTATCATCTTGCTATCTATTTAGGAAATATTCTACAAATATCCTGCCTGGCAAACAAATTTATTCTTATGTTCAGGAAAATCATATGATATACCTTGAGTACGTCAACATCGTCTTCCATCTCCCAAGTAGATTCCTCATAAGAAAGAGCCTTCCACTTGACCAGGTAGTGTTTGATTTCTTTGCCGGTGGTGGGATCTGTTGTTTCCGTCATGTCCAGAATGCGGTCCACCTCAGTGTAGTCTGGATTAAACAGTTCTTCTTCCAACTAAACCAAGAAAATAATTAAGATATAAACAAATACAAAACATTCTACAAATACAAAACGTTCTATTTTAAGACATTTAAAATAGTCCTGCACATACATAGAGCTCACATTTGCTTCCTCAGGCTACCAGTAACCATCCCCCACCTTGAAAAGAAAAATTCTGAGTCCCTCACTTTCCTTCTAGGGCCTTGGTAAGAAAATGATGACCATTGCTTGGCAAAATTACCATCCAGTGTCTGAATGTTTAGGGCAGCCATAGAGGAGACACTAAACTTTTAGCAACAGCAAATGAGTGATTACCATGTATATATTTGAGGCAAAATTTGTGCTATATGCAATTTCAAGACTTAGGCTTATAATATATACACATATATATATACATATATTATTATGAATAAGTATGTGGGGTGTCTGTATATCTATAAAATACTGGTATATCCATACATACTTATATTTTCAAAGTTATACATAATAGACAGGACCTGAGACACAAATACAACCTGTTAGCATGAAAAACTAAATAAAGCGAGAAACAATGAAAATACATCAACAAACTTATTCCTATGCAGCACCTCAACTCATTTAACATAAAAATATGCAACTTCTCCAAGCCACTACAGCTAAACCACAAGAGCTAGAGACATTTTATTTGGATTCTTGTGCTTCCTGAAGGCTAATTAACAATGTCATAAGAAAAATGCTTCTGGTTCTATACATTTCTTTATGAATGTTTAATTCCAGTAGTCAGGACCTGGGGCTGAGTGCATGGGCATGTTGTCAATTTCTTTCAGAGCGGAGATATCCCAACAAAGGTCCATATGACTTTCATAACAGGACCATGGGTAAAGAGGGGAGTGGTTCGAGACCCCAGCTGCTATCTTTTCTTTCATGCTGCAATTTATTTTGTTTTGCCTGGAATTTGTCCATTTTTTTTTGTTAGTTTTTGAGTTGATCTCTGATCCGCACTCTTCCCTTGCCTAGATGAGACAACCAGATTCCGGTCCTTACTCCTGGCATACTTATCAGTTTCATAAGGCCTGGTGCATTCATAAAAAAAACTAGCATTATCAGCATTGAACCCCTGCACTGCGCACCTGTTTTTGGCAAAAACTTCATAGTGCAATTGTTAAGGACATATTTTATTATTTTTATAAATGTTCAGGTAAAGTTAATGTCAAAATGTTTCCAAACTCAACCATTTTTCATTTCAAAACACAAAGTGATGAAAACATTAAACAACATTAAAATATAGCCTAATTAAAAAAAATAGTACAACTCTCAAAATGAGATTTCTCGGTTGGCGCAGCACAGTGGTTAAACTCTAGGGAGCTACTAAGGACCCAAACCAAAAACAATTAAAAAATTAAAAAAACTTACAAATTCCATCACATTATGACTCGTAGCTCTCTTCTGCTTGTAGCGCTTAATTTTTCCATTTATTCTTTTGTCCCCTTTGAAGAGTTCCTCCTCTGTTCGCCATTCACAGTGGAGGTATGAAAATGAGCGATACTTGACGAAAAATTCTTCCACATCTATCTTTTTGACAGTTCCTTTCTTCTTCTCTTTACCTTCTTCACCTGGATAAGCAAAAATAGATATTAGTTGTTTCATTAACCCTTATAGTGCTAAGCATAAGGGGACAGGGAAGCAAAAAATATTTGAATTATATAAAAATTATTGAAAAATATTAAATCTCCAACTTATTGGCTTCGGGGTTGTGAAACTTTCATCAAAATATTTTCAGAAATTGAATTTAGACGATTTTTTTAAGAAGAACTTTTTGTTGATAAGGAGGACAGTTCCTATTAACACTTTCGCGCTCTCGGCGCTCAAAAAAAAACAATACCCCAGATGCTTTCGGCACTTCGCGCGCCTACGCGGTAAGACCGAAAAGTGTACACTCTTTTGACTGTCCTGACAATAATTGAAGGCGCACGTATTTAAATTTGGTATCACTGTGTTCGCAATGAAATTGTCTATAAGAGCATACCTATAAAATGCCGCCCAAGCATAAGGAGTATCAACACCAAATAAAAAACTATGCAGATCACTCGCCGAGAGCGCCAAACCGCAACAAAATGTTTCCACTCTCTTAATGGTTGCGAAACCTACAGTTGTCCTACATCGCTAATTTTGGTATCATTGGAATCGCAATAAAATTCTCTACACGGACATATGCATATGAATGTTTAATATAAGTAATTGCCCACCCGCAAGAGTGTGTGAAGTGGAGAGTAGTTAGCCGCGAGCGCACTGGCGAAAACACAGGGGGGAAATCATGCTTGGAAAGTTTATGTTTCCTGACCCTACTTTTCTATGTACGTATTTCTTTTTTATACCAATGTGTTCGCAATAAAATTTTCTATAAGATGAACTGCATAACATTTGTACAAAGCATGTGTAAGAGAAGCGCCAAATATAGAACCACCTCGCTCAGTATGCGCTCGCGGCAGAAACGAACGCATTGTTTTCGTTCGTTTGATGTTTGTCATGTTTATACTTGTTGAAACATTTTATAATTTGTATGACAGTGATCGCAGTAAAATTCCCTACACAGACATATACATAACACATACAAATATTTCCCACGTGTTGGATATATCAACGGCTAAAGGGAACCCACTGCCACACGCTCGCCACACCCCCAAACATACTTTGTGTATTTTTTTTTTTACTCATAGAAGTTTATGTGATATAATATTCATTCTGGTACCAAAACATTCGCAAATAAATTCCCTACAAAACAAAAGTATCCCCATCCATTTCGGTTAAAAAATGGAATTTATAGAAATATTTTTTCGATGGACGAGAAAACTCGGCTGTTATGCGGAATCGTAAGAGAAAACGGCGACGAGTTATCTCTAATCTAAAGCGCGAAAGTGTTAATAAGAACTGATGATATTTTAATATACAGTAATAGAGATGCAAGCACCTGTCCGACACACAAAGAAGTACAGTAGTAAGAAGTGTCCACAAAGTGGATATGCAGGTGGTGCCTTTATAGCATTGCTGAGTAATATATAACACAAATAATAATGAGAATGTTATTATGCTCTATTTTGTTATATATCATATAAATACATTGCCCAATGTTAATATCTGTTACTTTCACCAATGTCCAAAAAAAAAAAAATGATAGGGAAGGGGGACTTTTTTTCTCCCTTGTTTATTATATGATTTTGCTGTACCCTCTACATCCTGAAGAGTGCATCTCATCCCTAACTATGTGAAGATAGAATGAAATTGGTCAACAAATAATCAGTCAAAACTTGCAGAATTTAGGACTTTTGATGATTAAGAACCAGATTAGGGCTTTTTCACTTGTATAAAGTATTCTGTAAATACATCCTCTAAATCATTAGAATTATCCCTATACTTTTTTTGGGGGAGGTTATTTATTCTTGACTTCATTTCAACACATTTTGACCTACAACTTTCACATTCCAGTACAACTACCAAGCAATCTGCCGATGCAAAAGGTGCAGACAAATGAGTGTTAAAATTTGAGGAGATTGTATAGGACAATTCTTTATCTCCCGAGCAAATTTATTGTGCCGATGAAACAAGCATGTACTGGCATATGTTGGACGGTTACACATACACTCATCAGGATGAAAGTGATGGTTCATTTGGGTTCAAGGCAAATACAGAAAGCCCCTCTATTTTTGTATTTTTTTGTGCAAATGCCGTTAACACACACACACACAAGAGTATCAAGAATACCTTATGATTTATGAGGCTCAGGCCAGAGTAAGATGTCTAGAGCTATTTTTTCCTGAATACTATTTAGTCATTTCATACCCGTACCCTAGACATCATGCCAAGATTATACATGGAGAAACATATGGACACTTGGCTAGTACCCGTATCAAGCCAGTCAGCTATTCACAGTTGGTCACAGCCAGTAACTGGCATCTACAGTCAAGTCACAGCCAGTCAAGCACTCATAGCCACAACAAGTCACAGTCAATCACAACATGTCACACTTGGTTAGGCATTTAACGGTAGTTGCAATCGGTCACAGGCAGTCGAAAGTAATCAGGCATTCACAGTTGTGGTAGTAACCAGTCGGCATTCACAGTTAGTCGCAACCAGTCAGTCAGTAAGCAATACGATTTTGATGTCAAGCACTTGTGTAGTCTCTGCCTCCCATGGTCACCAGCTGGTAGGAAGGAAGTCCATAATTTATCAATTCCACCAAGATGTGGTGGTAAGGATATAGCTGGGAGGGTCCAGTGTGGAGTGGGATAGGAGGTGAGGCAAGGAGGTAGCAGGGAGGATCAGGTGAGGGGATGAGGACCTGGGGAAGGGACTGCGTGTGACCTATAGGCCAACAAGTTAGTCTGTGTTAGTCTTAGTCTGATTAATCTGCTTCCCTTTCACTCCCTTTGCTGCTCTGTCATTTGCTCAATGTGGCCCGCCAGCCTGTCCACCCACCTCAATCTACTGCCTGCCTGCCAGCCATGCCACCAGCCTGCTCATTGCTGCCTGCCACCCACCGCCATCTACTGCCTGCCCTCCCACTCTGCCACCTGACTGCCCTGCTACCAGTCTGCCCACTTTGCCATCTGTGCTCCTGCTCTCTCTCTCTCTACCTGCCACTCAGTACCAAGAGTACCATCATAATTACACAAGAAACCTTTAACGTTCACTAATCACCTTCTTTCCCTTTTTCCTCCGGGTCATCTTCTGTGTCGCTCTCAACCTCTCTCTGTCCTGTCCTTATGCCCAAGATGCTCTGCACCACCATTGTGTCCTCACTGTTTGGATCCTGCAATTAAACAAATTATCCATATATATAATTTTCTTGAACAAAATGTTTCAAAGCCAGGTATTTAATTAACCAAGTATGAATAACCCGTATGAAAGAGATGAAACCAGATATCGCTGAATTATGAGAGCATATCTTTTGATGTAAACATTACTAAATATCATATGCTACACAAATTGTAGCTACTGTATACTGTATACGGGTCACACTTAATGACTGTATTTTTATGAGCTAACTTCTACCTGGAAATGCAGTGAAAACTTGTACTATACATGGGTTCTTTATCCACACACACACAGCAAATCAACAAATTGATGTATTACACGCTCTGAATGACTTACCACATAAACAAAATTTGGTTTAACCAAGTTGCCTTCTTCTTCAGGGTGGTTGTTGCCAGTGTAAGCAGCTGCAAGATCAGCAGCACTCTGAGGGTCCCCGCTCCCACTCCCTCCAACCCCCGTGTTGTTTGAAGGGTTTTTTATTAGCAAGTTGTCATCGTCCGACAAGTTTAAATCCAGCTCGTCTACGTATTTCTTCCGTAAAGTGTTGCGTCCCGATCTTCTCTTGTTGGCTTCATCTTCCTCTTTCTGGGCAGCAGATACTGCATTGGGTTCCATGTCTGAAAAATCCGACTCTGACCCTCGCCTTTTCCTCTTGCGCTTGAAGTTTAGTGTCAATCTATAAAGAAAGAATATTTAAAAATATACATGCATATTTCCAGTGGAAGAAATATTTATAAAGTGACAATGGACAAAACTTGTGCACCAGGTTTAAAAAAAAAAACAATTATGGTTCAACAATAAGAGTGCCAACATACAGGGCAAAACTCTTAGATGGTCTACAATACTTGTTAATAATCTAGTGTGTTCACTGTTTTACACAATGTGATCAATTTTATCTTGTGTACAAAGAGCAGGCCAAAATATCAGCCAAAAAATATAGTTTTTTATGGTTTGGGAAAGGTAATTAACAAATTAAAAAGATCAACAGTTCTATGGCAGAATCCTGAGAAACCTGAGGGAGTATTCTCATGCCTGACATAACCTATGACCTTTTGTGTCAGATACTCCCTCAATCAGTTCAGTGTTTTCACCCTTATCCTTGCTTGCCTCTCCATCTTGGACTTTACACATTTATGAGGATTTGTATCAAAATCTTTCCAGCAATCAAGGATGATGCAGTGTACTTACCTTTCATCATCTTCCCTTTTACTGTTACCAAATTCAATAAAATTTGCCATGTATAATTTTTCCCTCTCTGAATCTGCATTACCTGCTTGATGGGGTTCTGGGAGTTTTTCTACTCCCCAAGCCTGGCCTGAGGCCAGGCTTGACTTGTGAGTTTGGTCCACTCCATGCACTTATTTTACCTAGCTCAATTTGAAGGGCATTACAATCGTCATGTATCTCCTATCTTCCTCAGTTTCTTAGCCTCATCCACAAACATGTTCATATTTATTCTATTCCTTCCGGTAGATTGTTTATATAGACGGTGAACATTACTGGTGCAAGAATTGAACCCTGTGGTACTCCCTAGTAACACTCCTCCAGTCAGATACATTGTCTCTGATTAATGACCTCATCTGTCTGTCAGTTAGAACATTTTTCATCCATGTTAGAAGTCCCCCCGTCACCCCTCCAGAACAGCCTCTAGATAGTTAACCCAACTACCACTTTCCTGTAGTATCTCTGTGGCTTTATCATAAAAACTTAGATTTGTTAAACAGGATCTTCCTGTTCAAAAACCATACTGTCTATCTGTTATGTCATTGCTTTCTAGGTGATCAACCCATTTCGCTTTAACTATTTTTTCAAGCATTTTACTACCACTCTTGTTAATGATACGGGTCTATAAATTTATAGATTCCTCTCGACTACTATTTTTACAGATTGGTACTATGTTTGTTTTTTTCATTATATCTGCTTAGATATAATGAAAAACATAACTAGTTATGATTCCTGCTCACAAGGATGTCTGGAATATTAATTGGAATGGAATGCTCAGCTGAGTTGCACATTTTTGCAACACCCAAGGTGAAACTCAAAGTCCAACCACTTTATTTCTTCTTAGCCCCCATGGGAATTTTTTCAATTCGTCTTGAGATACCTATGTATTCAATGGAGTGCTTTGGAATTGGTATTTAGTCTGGCTCTCTGAAATCCTAATTTTTATATAAACACAGTTTGGAACTGTTCATTTAGCATTTCACACATTTCTTTTTTATTCTTAGTAGTCTTGTTCCTCATTCTTTGAAATATGTGTTTAGTGTACGAGTTTGCATGTGTGTTTGCATGTAATATACTGAACATGACATTTCACAAGGAGCACGGTACATCTAGAGGCAGTGTGGTAGTACTGTACTCGTTTATCACAAATGCTATAATCAGTGGCAACTCATTTATCCTAAGTGCATCAAATAAGCTTACCTAAACTGTCTGACCCTAAATAAAATGAAATTGGTTAGAATACAAAATTTATTAACGTGAGAATAAATATATGACGCGGTAATGGTTGTGTATGTCTGATTTATGGTTACAATTACTAAGGGAAGACTGTGAGATGGAAGGTGGTTGGTTGGCAGCTGCACATATGGGAATGGCTGCCAGTTATTATGGCCCCACTGTTATGTCTCCACAGTTTCTAGCCAATATTCAGAGAATTCTCCAGATTTGCATAGAGAAAATAAGACACAACCCTCCCCTTAAGGAAGGAATAGCTAATAAATAGGCAAGTGAAACATGAAGGACTCTGTCCTGTGAACCCCTCAAACGGGTAGTCACACTACTTACTTGGCAGAAGGTTTCTTTTTGGCTGGAGTTGCACTCTTCACTTTAGGTTTTTTCTCAACCTTGTTCTTAGCATTAGTAATGGTAATAGGAATGGTGGGAATACCAGAAGCAACAATAGGCAAACCAGTTGCTGGATTAACCTGAAACAATGAAAGATTTTTCTTAAGGGAGGAAAGCTTAATAAAATAAACAAGGGTTAACAAATCAATAAGTATGACATTAACATCATTTTTCCCACTGCCTAAACTGCCATGTTTTGAGATATGAACAATAACTATTATACAGCAGGGAGAACCATAATTATTGCTGTATAATAGTGATGGTAATAATAATAATTAAATAAAAAAAAACATAATAATTAAACCATAATTATAGTAGGGTGACCCATAATTTATATACAGCAGGGTGACCCATAATTTATATACAGCAGGGTGAACCACCACTACTGTTATACAGCAGGGTGAACCATCACTACTATACAGCAGGGTGAACCATCACTACTGTTATACAGCAGGGTGACCCACCACTACTGTTATACAGCAGGGGTGAACCACCACCACTACTATACAGCAGGGTGACCCACCACTACTGTTAAACAGCAGGGTGAACCACCACTACTGTTATACAGCAGGGTGACCCATCACTACTATACAGCAGGGTGACCCACCACTACTGTTATACAGCAGGGTGAACCATCAGTACTATACAGCAAGGTGAACCATCACTACTATACAGCAGGGTGAACCACCACCACTATACAGCAGGGTGAACCATCACTACTATACAGCAGGGTGACCCACCACTACACCTGGTTGATACCTGGTTGATGGGGTTCTGGGAGTTCTTCTACTCCCCAAGCCCGGCCCGAGGCCAGGCTCGACTTGTGAGAGTTTGGTCCACCAGGCTGTTGCTTGGAGCGGCCCGCAGGCCCACATACCCACCACAGCCCGGTTGGTCCGGCACTCCTTGGAGGAATAAATCTAGTTTCCTCTTGAAAATGTCCACGGTTGTTCCGGCAATATTTTTACACACAGCAGGGTGACCCACCACTACCGTCAACACAAACACAGTGGCATCCCAACCAGACTCACAAACATGAACAAGTAAAATACCCAGCACTTCCACAAGTATGGCAACACTTCGTATTTGCCAACATTCATGGAAACGGAACACACAAAAGAAAGTCCACTTTATACCTGGCTTCCTAAGTGAGGCAAAAACAATGTTTGCACCTTTTAATTAAACAAACTCTCACAAGGACTATTATGACAGTGAGACACAAACACCAGGGCTCATTCTTTTCAGATGTGATGGGAAACACAGGATACAGGGAGGGGGGTCAGCCAGTATATCAATGACACATTTATCTTCATTGAGCAGTTAAACACAATAAATGATATGGTGGAAATGCAGTTAATCAAAATAGAAATCCAAAATGTGATTGCCCTTGTATATAAATACCCATATACAAATCTTCAACAGTTTAATGATCAGCCAATGAAAATAAAATGTTGCTTAAGAAACCTTGCAAGCCCTACCCTGATCATCATACTTAATGACGTCTATTTATGGCACCTAAAAGGGAAAAATGTAGCAAATGCCATTTTATCAGCGTAAATCCCTGGAAGTAAACATCTCCAAATAATACCTGATCCACCAGGCTGTGATTCATGCGTCAGGCTGCAAGTAACCATGTCCGGCAACGAGGAGGCCTGGTTGGCCAGTCCGGCAACGAGGAGGCCTGGTTGGCCAGTCCGGCAACGAGGAGGCCTGGTTGGCCAGTCCGGCAACGAGGAGGCCTGGTTGGCCAGTCCGGCAACGAGGAGGCCTGGTTGGCCAGTCCGGCAACGAGGAGGCCTGGTTGGCCAGTCCGGCAACGAGGAGGCCTGGTTGGCCAGTCCGGCAACGAGGAGGCCTGGTTGGCCAGTCCGGCAACGAGGAGGCCTGGTTGGCCAGTCCGGCAACGAGGAGGCCTGGTTGGCCAGTCCGGCAACGAGGAGGCCTGGTTGGCCAGTCCGGCAACGAGGAGGCCTGGTTGGCCAGTCCGGCAACGAGGAGGCCTGGTTGGCCAGTCCGGCAACGAGGAGGCCTGGTTGGCCAGTCCGGCAACGAGGAGGCCTGGTTGGCCAGTCCGGCAACGAGGAGGCCTGGTTGGCCAGTCCGGCAACGAGGAGGCCTGGTTGGCCAGTCCGGCAACGAGGAGGCCTGGTTGGCCAGTCCGGCAACGAGGAGGCCTGGTTGGCCAGTCCGGCAACGAGGAGGCCTGGTTGGCCAGTCCGGCAACGAGGAGGCCTGGTTGGCCAGTCCGGCAACGAGGAGGCCTGGTTGGCCAGTCCGGCAACGAGGAGGCCTGGTTGAGGAACGGGACAATGGGGATGCTAAGCCCCGAAATCATTGCAAGATCACCACAAGTAGTTTAAATGAAGTCACACAGAAATGACCTCTTAAGAATGTGAAAATATTTTGTTAAACCAGCAAAGAAAAGAAAATTCTCAAGACCTTATTTTCCCAAACAATGATGAGCTGGTTAGGAGCATTATGATTAAATTAAGGTTACTCAGATCACAACCTAATCCACGTTCAGGCAAGAATGGGCAACAGACCTGCATAATCAGTCTCATATCCAAGAGTAAAATTCAATAAATTCAATTTTAATAATAAAACAGATTAACTGGGAACTAATAACCCAAGACCTCACAGAAATAAGCTGGGAAGAACAGCGTGAAACCTAACCCTAAAGCAGTGCCTCAAGAACATAGGCAAAGTAGCACTAACCATATGCTCGAGTCACCTACCTCTAAGAAAAAAAAAAAAAAAGAAAAATGCAAACTGGATGAACAGCATTCTGAAGAAAACAAAACAAATAGCAGAACAACTCGAAAGCCCCACTATCCCAAGACAGACATGGAAGGCCAGGCAGAGAAAAAAATGATGGAGCTAAAGCTTCAAGAATCATAAAATTCAGAAGTAGAAAGCACAAAAGACCATAAGTGAAATAGAGCAGAACCCAAAATACTTTTTCTCCTATGAAAATTCTAGAACAAAAACTGCATCTAGCATTGGGCCTTTGCACAAGGAAAATGGAACTTTCATGGATGACAGCAAAGAAACGAGTGAAATACAGAGGGTACAGTACAACAGTCCATATCTGTCACACAGCAAGGAGTGTTACATTATTACATTCGGCTATTATACAGCTGGAGTGAGAAGGAAGGACAGTAACTCCTCCAGGGAAGGTGTTGAAAGTGAAAACTCAAACAATAATATTCTGCCTGTGTACACAATTCACAAAAGTATCGCAAGGTGGGTAAGAGAGAGAGAAGAGACAGCTAATGATATAAATAGAGAGCGTACCTTGGTTGGATCCAGAGGAGTTCCTGGAGGTGCAACAGCCGGGTCCATCAGAGCAGCTGGAGGAGCACCAGTGCCAGTATCCACAGGTAGAGTGTTCACCTCACGAGCCAAGCCCATTACAATTTTCCTTACACGTGTTCTTCTTGGTGGGGCACTGCAATGAAATATATAGAATTAAAACTATTATTCTGAGGCAGCTATAACCAGGCAGTTATAGTATTCAAGCAGATATGGGCAGAAAAATATGCTGCCCATATCATTGTTGTATATTGTGAGAAGTTGGGTTTCGGCCACTTCTCAGCTAGCTTACATTTGTTAGGTGATAGGTAGAAAAAGCCTTTTGCTTCAGAAAATGGTGGAGATGTGCACAGGGTGTGCACAAAAGTCTATCTTCTTGGGTAATGAAGATAGACTAGTGGAATCACGTCTCTTTCGAAAAGGGATGCTTTTAGCATTCCAAAGATGTAACTCTCGGTGTCGTAAGTATTCTGTGTGAATAGTTACAGGTTTTCTCTGAATTCTGTAACTTCTGGCCTGGCAACAGAGTGAGAGAGAAGAGGATGAGGGGACCAACCCTCAGGTACCACGGCTCCCCTATGGCGGTGACATGACATCATCGGCGTCTCCTGCCGGCTTATTTCCCATTGGGAGCGACATGAGGCCTCTGCCGAGGCTCGAGCCTGATTGGCCGAGGGGCCTGGCACCAAAGGGAGCCGCCACTTGAATTCTCGTGCCAAAACCTCGTGGCTGGTGCGAAATTCCCACGCCTCTAGCGTCATTTTGTATCGAGGAGCTACGCTGTAGAGAAGTAGGGAGATCAGGTCTCTGGCCAAAAGCCTTGATTCCTCCCTCTCCTGTCAATCCTCCAGCCAGCTCATTAACCCTACGCTGTTCCACGTTACAGTCGCAGAATCCTGCAGCGTCGGAGCTTGTTAATGGTAAAAATTAAGGAGATAAGTGAAGTGAAGTCGTAAGCCATCACATGTGCTGCCAACAGGTGCAACAGAACTGTCCAGAGTCATCCAGTGATATCGGCCTTACCTAGAGCAAGCCGTCCTTCTATTGCTCTGTCACAGTGAATATAAGAATCAGGAAACGATTCTAAGTGTTTGAGTGAAGATCGTGTGTATATCTTCAATATTGTGGAAGTGTGGACTTTTAATTTTTCCTCGTCCACGCCACTGTTCTCCCTGGGTGCCTCACATCTGGTGTTTACATATATTCGTCTATTTCCAGCATGCATACCGTCAGCCTTCAGCAATATATCACGCTTGTGTCAAAAACCCCGGTGTATAACGGTGAGGGGCATTTATTAGTGGAAACGTGTTAGGCGACTCTCGCCTCTGTGTCTCGAGCGCGCGGGAAACACCTCCCCGCCGCCCCTCACTACCCCAGGCCGTTGGCCTTGCTGCCTCACCTCGCTCCTCAGAGTGCAGTGTCCCACCTCACTCCGTCATCTCCAGTGCATGGTCTTCAATCAACAGCTGGAGCAGTGAGTGTGATGAATGATTGCGAGTGTGTCATACCAGTATAAATTAACGAGAGTACCCAAACATTATTTCTTTGTATCTTCTTGTGTGCAAATTCCGTGTGTTGAATTTGATTCAGCCATCCGGTGTTCGTTCTCACTAGTTCCCCTACGGGACCGAGTTCAATTCCTCAAGGAAGCCCGATAGGTAAAGACCTACTACAGCTTTTGTGTGAATACTGTAGCAAGATCTTAGTTATTTGTCATCTTACACATTCAGTTGTCTTTGTGACGTGTGTATTTTACTGTGTTTAGTGTGGTTTAGTGGTTACCATAACAGGGGCCTCGTAGCCTGGTGGATAGCGCGCAGGACTCTTAATTCTGTGGCGCGGGTTCGATTCCCACACGAGGCAGAAACAAATGGGCAAAGTTTCTTTCACCCTGAATGCCCCTGTTACGTAGCAGTAAATAGGTACCTGGGAGTTAGTCAGCTGTCACGGGCTGCTTCCTGGGGGTGGAGGCCTGGTCGAGGACCGGGCTGCGAGGACACTAAAAGCCCTGAAATCATCTCAAGATAACCTCAAGATAACTGTGTGATTAACCCATGTCCATGCCGTTCTGTCTTTATTTCCAGGGGACATGCTGTAAGTCCAAGTAAGAGTAATTACTCTATGTACTTAAATTTCATTTGGTGACACGTGAGTATATCAGTGTTGTGTAGTGTTACTATTTGTAGGGGGTCTGTATGACCTGGTGTACTTTGGTTAAGTGTGTGCAATTATCATTACCATTTTGTTGTTGGTCTCAGTGACCCGTGTTGGTGTGTACAATTATCATTGTTATGTTGTGTTGGTCTCAGTGACCCGTACTGATACTTCAGTGTAACTTTGTGTTCATTCATTTGCGAAGTCAGTGTACAGAGTAACTTTGTGTTCATTAACTTGCGGAGTAAAGTAGATTCAGTGTTATGTGTAACTTCGTGTTCATTAACTTGAGACGTCAGAGTAACTTTGTGATCATTTATTCTTGCAATGTCAGTGTTCAATTAGCAACGTCATGTTCAATTATCCTCGTGATTTCAGTGTGTTAATTTCAATTGATTTGATACGCGGTGATTAGTAATCGTATTGACTGATCGATGTTTAGTTAAGCTGTCTTAGTGATGCAGAGTCTTAACGTAAATTCTTCGTGAATTGAGTGAGCTGTCAAGAGGCGACAGATTCTGGTATGATTACTCAGGGATTGCTAATTACCCGTAGCCATTGTTGATTCTTTTGACTTCTGTTGTGATTGCATGTCTTGGTGACATTAACGTAACTAAATTGACTGAGTAAAGTAACGTAATAAGTTGAGTGTTGCATGGAAGACTCGTCTCGGTGACAAGTCTGTCAGTTGTTGTCATTCAGTCATGAGTTATCCCGCGCTGGCCACGGATCTCGTATCTGGCGCCAATGAGGGCCATAATTGGTTCCAACATTGATTGCCTCACATTGACCCCAGACTCCCATCTGGTCCAACGTTGGGCTGTGCATTGTTGGAACTGTAATTACCCTCATTTATTCCGGATTTGCATCTGGCACCAACGAGGGCGTGACTTTCCCTGTATGTTATTGCTACTTGCTGCAGCCTAGTTAAGCTGCCTTTGCGTCTGGAGTGGTTCCCCATTGTTGTTAAGTGTAGACAGGGTCAGCGATATCGCAAGCGGTCCGAACCGGAAGCCAGTGTTCTGGGTAGTTAGCCTTGTCAAGCACCACGTCCAGCCTTACCGTAATGTTAGATTGTTCTTGTCATGTACCCTGACTGTTAACACTTTCGCGCACCCCGCCCGCCACCCCTCAACTGTGCGATATGGGACCCAGGGTGTCACGGGAGCGCGCGTAAATTCTGAAAAGTGTATACTCTCTTCAACTTTGTCACCTTAATTCTTGTCCTACGAGATTAAATTTTGTATCATTGTGTTCACAATAGAATTCTCTACAGCACTAAATGCATATAAACTCCAAAAGCCCGGCTAATTACCCGCAGCAAACAGAGAAAGTGCGAACGAGTTACCCAGGAGCGCGCAAACGCGATAAAATGTTTTCACTATTTTCACTCTGGTCACCTCAATTTTCGTCGTAGGTCTTTCATTTTGGTCTCAATGGGTTTGCAATAGAATTCTCTATAGGAACATTAGCATATAAAATAAAAAACCTGTTCACGCTCCAACCGCCGACGAGTTGAAGACGGGCCACGCGTTAGCCGCAAGTGAGTGCTCAGATGCCTTCCAGCTACACTCCCAATTCCCACCCTTTTCAAGCCTTTCTTTCACAATTTTCTTCCTGGAAGGGCCTTGTTCATGATCACTATCCATCGTGGAGTAAGTGTAGATAGTTTCTAAAGCCGCAGTAAGAAATATAGCCACGGAAAATAGCCGAAATGTTCACACGTTTCAGATGCGAGGGGAGGCAACATTGGTCACAACAGTGGAGCGAAAACAATGGGCCCCCGGCGTGTGCCAAGCCGCCTGAGGGCCACGAGGCTCAACAAAGAAAATGGGAAGACATCGGCGCGCATTTTAAAACCAGTCCCAAAAGAATCGGATAAAAACCTGATTTTTGGCGATTATTTAAAGTGGATGACGCAATGCTGCGTCATCCCCAGTATTACTGCCAGTAAACGGATGACGCAATGCTGCGTCATGCCCGGGCGAAAGTGTTAAGTACAAGTGTCTTTACGTTCACACCTTCAGACCCTTGCACCCAATAATAACTTTGCCAATATTCTCAATACTATCGTGAGCCTTTTTATGTTGCATGTATTACTTGGATTCCAACTGCTTTCATGGCCGTACACATCAAATATAAATTCTATATCGATGTGAACTTTGTTCGAGCTACTCTGATGACGACCTTCTGAGGCCCCAAGAAGCTCCACGACCCAGTGGATAAGGAGTGCCAAGGATTTGAACTCCTGCAGTTGCTCTATGCGTCCCTGGTCAGTCATTAAAGTATAATCTGACCTCAGCATTAGTTTTATGCTAGTTCAGTCCTTTCTGACTGAGGTTCCTTGTAACCTATTCACCACAAAAAAGGGATAATCTCACATATATCATGCTGCCGATGATATACAGCAAGATATGGGCACCTTTAAAAAGGAAGGACAAAATATGGAATGAAAGAGTGGTAAGGTCATTAGTACTCAACCACCTGAGATACTTCTTCCCATTAGTCAGTGTTATTAATGCTCAAATTAGCACCTTTTAAACTGAAGAGAATTTGATCTAAAAAATAACACCTAACACACATCTGTAAATGAACTACAGTAACTATTGAAATAATAAGCAAAATCTGTCAGTGATCAATGTTTTGGCCAGTCCCAAGAAATCAACCACCTTAGAACCTATTGACCATCTGTACCCAATACAAGTACTTTATTACATTTCACTGACTTCCCAGGGTTTCCAATTGCACAAATGTCTATTTTACCTCAAAATAGAGAGGCTGTCCTAGTCCACCTTGTGTATTCCCTATAATATTTTGTACATAATTACCATATCCTCTCTGCTCCTCCAGCAACAATAGGCTTGTATAGGATGACTAGGTGGGCAGATGAGTGAATGTTGGATGTAAATGTGAGTTTGGAGTGAGAGGGAAGTGCTGGTCCTTCCCTCTCACTCCAGCACAGCACTCCAGGCCCTTGAGTGCTATCCAGGGCCTCACTGGCCCTGGACAGCACAGCAGTTGTAAATGAAGCTGTCACTTGCCTACATCTTTGTAAAGCACTGGGGAAAACAGAAGCTCACGAGCAGAGCAAATGAAGTCTCACTCATTAACACATGAAAGACTTTAGCTCACCACCTGCCAGTCAAGTGCAAGGGTCCAATCGAGCCCCTACCAAGCCTTTAAGAAAAAGAGAGGGTGAACAGCAAGTTACTGCAACCAGTAAGCAGAGACTCCTGTGCTCAGTGACAAGGTCCATCATGAAACGAGGTTCATGCTCCACACGAAATACTGAAGCAAATCTGTGCAGACCATAGAAGGCACTGGGCAGGAAGACAAACCTCCAAATAAAGGACAAATCTAATGGGATCCAGAACCGAATCCAAGAGGGGGGGTGGGGGGGGGGGACCAGCAAGTGATCCAACTCATACATAGAAGGGGGGTTATGAAAAAATTACCCCTCCCCTCACACAGCAACAACGGACCGCACAGAAAGGATCAAAACCAAAAAAGGTTGAAAGGACTCCAAGACACTCACTGGGTTCTCCCTCAACTGCAGAAGCCTGCCACAAAGGTTCTGCAGCAGAGTCAATTTCCTTGCCTAACACCCAAGAGAGGAAGGTGTCCTCCTTCAAGGTTATCTTGAGTTATCTTGAGATGATTTCGGGGCTTAGTGTCCTCGTGGCCCAGTCCTCGACCATGCCTCCACCCCCAGGAAGCAGCCCGTGACAGCTGACTAACTCCCAGGTACCTATTTACTGCTAGGTAACAGGGGCATCAGGGTGAAAAACTCTGCCCATTGTTTCTCGCCGGTGCCTGGGATCGAACCCGGGACCCCAGGATCAAGCATCCAGTGTTCTGTCCGCTCAGCCACCGGCTGTTGGATGCCATACTTAAAGTACTATTTAAACTGGAGGATGGACTGCATTATTAATGTTTTTGGTAAATGACAATTATTAACCAGTGATTTAGTGACTCGTGGTTGTTTTTAGTGCAGGTACAGTAACACATAGGAAAGTCTTCCAACACACTCTAGATGGCTCATCATTTAAAGCCCATAAACTAGTTTATTTTGATATTGCAACCAATGCATTACAGAGCTTTATATCGTGAGCAAGTAAAACCCAATTCAGTTTAATAGCTTTTAATATCATCAATTTTCATGTTATGTCTTTCATTTTGGTATCAAATTGTTTGCAATATTAAGGTGCATATTTTAAAACTAGTCCCCCATAATAATAGAGCAATAAATGGAATTTTAACATATATTTTAAATTCTGGACACTCATCATCACAAAATTATTTATATCTTTCAAGTGTTCTGACATCAATTTTCGTGTTATATCTTTCATTTTGGTATCAAACTGTTCGCAATCTAAAGGCTCGCATTTTAAAACTAGTTTCTTAATAATAAGCAATAAATTGAATATTAACATTTTAAAATTTGGACCAAAAAAGTATTTATAATCTTTCCAGTGTTCTGACATCAATTTTCATATTACATCTTTCATTTTTATATCAAATTGTGCGCAATCTAAATGTCCTCATTTAAAACCACTCCCAAATTGATCGGATAAAATTTAAATTTTCAACAAATATTTTAAAATGATGGACGCCGCTCGCGTCCACGACTCGGACTCGGACTTTTCGGAAGAGAAAAATTACGGACCCCAGGGGCATTCAAAGAGTGTGAAAGTGTTAACATAATTAAGCTCTACTTCCATTAGTTCATTATTCTGTCATTGATTTGGGTACAGTATTCAGTTGCCACCTGTGTCCCCTTGTTTGCATATCACTTATGGTAACTAGCTTGTCCTTGTCTGCCTTGTGTAATCCCCCTGAGAATTTTATCTGTGGTCATTAGATCTCTTATTTCTCGTTTTTTCCAGTGATGTGAGGTTTGATTCCTCTAGTATTCCCCTTGTAATTCATACCTCTCAACTCTGGGATTAATCTGGTGGAAAAATTGTCAACAGCTTCACACTACAGTATTTAACAAGATAAAAACTCCACTGTGGTGCCACTATTTTGTAATCAGTCCAATGTGTGGTATATTAGGTACTGAATAACTCCATGTTCATATTCATAGGCAATTCTTAGGTTGGTCAACTCGGTATATTTCCTGATGGTGATATTTGTTTAACATTATCTCCAAATAAGGTTTGTTGTAATGTCAACCTTCAATTCTTTCTTTGTACAATTTCTGAAGGGTTTCCATTCATGCCTGGCCCCCATGCTGTCAGCATCCAGCTTCATTACTTTGCACTTGCTTAAATTAAAACTCTAGTAGCCACATGCAGACCATTCTTTTATTGTTAGGTTATCTTGAGATGATTTCGGGGCTTTAGTGTCTCCGCGGCCCGGTCCTCGACCAGGCCTCCACCCCCAGGAAGCAGCATGTGACAGCTGACTAACACCCAGGTACCTATTTTACTGCTAGGTAACAGGGGCATAGGGTGAAAAACTCTGCCCATTGTTTCTCGCAGGCGCCCAGGATCGAACCCGGGACCACAGGATTACAAGTCCAGTGTGCTGTCCGCTCGGCCGACCGGCTCCCATCCTGTATTCTCTTCTTGTCTTCCATCATATTTATACTGCTCAATTTTTTACAACACCAGTAAAAATTGAAAGGGAAGAGTCTATCTTTTCTGGCAAGTTATGCAGATAAGATTGGCTTTAGTAAAACATTCTAGCACTATAAAACCCCCTTCTCTAGCCAATTTCTGCTGCAGGAGGTTATGCCTTCATCGAGTTTATTCCCTTCCCTCTCACTCTCACCTTTACCTCCATTTTGTGCACTAGTCTTCTGTTGGGCACTGTGTAATAAACAGGTACTGTACCAGGGAGTTAGGAGACTGTTGTGGGTTGCATCCTGTGGAAGGTTAATCTTTGGACTAAGGAGGACCTCGATAAGCCTAATGTGCTTCCTATCCCAACTGACATATTCCTCAATTCCAAATTAATTAATAGTTCATTAGATAAAAATTTTAATTTTTTGTCTTTAATATTCAACTGTATGAAGCCTTGATGTTAAAGATATGATGATAATGTGCAGGGTAGCATGGTACAGTATATCAAAGTTTTGGTGGTGTTATCTATTCATCTCTAGACACGTGGCTTGGGTGGCCAAGAACCAGCTGTTCCTACCACGACACCAGTCCTCCACCATATTGCTCCTCTCTCACCCCTACCCACCCACCCCTAATGCATCTCTCTACGTCTCTATTTCTCATTCTAATGTCTGATGATAATGGGGTGAGAATAGCTTGAGCTACCTCATCCCTTTGTGTGTATTTTACCTCAATAAACTTATTTCAATGCCTGATGATCCTACACCTGCCAGTAAACAAAAAAATAAATATAAAGGTAAAATAATTATTTTTATGAAGTATATTTCAACATTTATATCTGAAGAGCTAATGGCACTTGAAATTTTATTGCAGCAAGTAGCAAATGGTCAGTACATTTACCCTACACTAAAATGTTGTGTACAAACTAAATTGCAGATTAAATGTTAAAAATTATAAATGTTTGAAGGCATTAAGCTTAAACGAAATATTAGGCCATATAACATTTTTGTTTAGGATATAAGTGATTCACCTGGGCCGCTTGACCTTGAGTTCTTTAGGCTCCTTTATCTTCGTATCTTTCTTGGCTTTCACCTCCTTCTTAAACTTTGGTTCCTTGGGAGGTTTGGGGGGTTTTGGGGTTTTGCTTTTGGTTGCACGCTTTTTGCTCTTGATGGTCTTGTTGGAGCCAGCATCTTCCATCTGCGGTTGTGCTGGGGCCGTCTGCTGTAGAATAAAACAAGCATGAAGCTAACTTTTCCCAGAATTACCATAATTGTAACATACAAATATTAGGACACGCTGCTCTAACAACATTAGGAAACACTGCTCTAACAGAAAACAAAATCTAATCAGCGATATTGAAGAAATAGAGCAGACACTAAAGCGATCATACCTCCCTGAGGAACTGGAATAGGAACAAAAAGCTACGCAAGAGATGAAGAAAAATCCAAAATATTTTTTTACACGTGCAAAATTAAAATAAAAAACCTCTACCAGTATTGGACCTATACACTGTACAGTACTTACAACTGAAGTTTAATTGTACATATGGACAAAGGAGGAATTAGACGACAAACAAGAGGGCCTCATAAAGGTCATGAGAGAGATTATACTAAGAGCAGATAAAGATAAATCATAACTGCTGGTGCTGGGGGACTTCAACTTGAAAGCAATATACTGGGAGGCCTACAAAGCAAGAATGGAAAACATTATAATCGTGCAACAGGTACTCTGAGAGAGAACTCTATCAACATCAGAGGCCCGAGACTGTTCAACACGCTTCCACTACACATAAGGGGCATAACTGGCCGACCCCTCACAGTGTTCAAGAGAGAACTGGATAAGCACCTCCAAAGGTTACCTGATCAACTAGGCTGTGACTCATATGTCAGGCTGCGAGCAGCCGCGTCCAACAGCCTGGTTGATCAGTCCAGCAACCAGGAGGCCTGGTCGACAACCGGGCAGCGGGGATGCTAAGCCCCGGAAGCACCTCAAGGTATATGCATTTCGTAGCAAAGCTAAACTTGTAATTTTTTTTTTTTTTTACAAGGTGGCTGATGAGTGTTCTGGAAGGTTCTTCAAATGGATTTAACATGTAAAGATGTTAAAAGATGAATCCTTAAGACTTAAGAGCATTCACCCAGGCATATTCCAATGTTCAAATACACGTTTGGTTATTTTTTCATTAATGGGGCATTTCTGGTTTGTATTTCACCTTGGAAATGTGTGTAGTGGTGTTTGGTTGCTTTAGGAGATCCACACTCTTGGGCTACCAGCTATGGGAGTGGGGCGACTCATCTTTGAGACAAGAGGGAGTTTGAAAAGGTGAAGAAATATGTTTGAAAATAGAAAAATATAGTATTAGTTATGATAGCGAGGGCTGTCCACCTTGCCGACAATGTATGGAAATTTGGCATTAAAGCTAAGCTTGCCTTCTTCTGCAGGGAGCTGCAAGTGTTTGTAAGGTTCATCACATGTATTTACACATACTGTATGTGGGTGTCTATAGATGAATGCTGTGTAGCAATAACACACACATTCAATGCTTTTAATTACAGTACCCAAATTTAGTAACAGATTGAGAGCTATGCTCATAGTGCCCTGTCTTCCCAGCACTCTGTCATATGATGTTTTGAAACTACAGTGTTAGCATTTACCACCACCTACATCACTTAACTTGTTCCAACCATCTACCACACTACATGACATGACAAAGTTATACGACAGTGCTGGGACACCACGAGCGTAGCTCTCATCCTGTAACTACACTTAGGTAATTACACTGTTTGCAAAAGAGCACTAATATTGCATAAGTATTTTTCACTTATTTCTCAATAATGGAGCAGCCTACCCGACAAACACTACCCAAACTTTATGTCCGTTTTTCAAATTGTTTCAACTGTCTTTATTTTTAGATTTTTTTAATTTAAGAAACATGGAGCAGCCTACCTGACAAACACCGAACGAACCTTTTTGACATTTGTTCTTTAAAAAAATTAATTTTGTTTCTCTACAAAAAAAGTAAATGCTTTGCAACATCCAAGCATCAATAGCATCTTTAAACAAAGAAAAATAATTTATTTGTATCGTCGGAGGCATCCGAGAATGTGCGAGAAGCAAACCGCAACCCCACTATGCGATGTTGACGTTATTCAAACGAGCAGTCTCCAAACGAGACGAATTGTCGGCGATCAGGGTGTTCATTACCCAAATTGGTCGCCACTTGAGGCGGTTGTCACTCGAGGTTCTACTGTATATTAAATGAAGTTGTATTCCCAAGGGGCAATTCAGTTTGGAGACGTGACAGGAAAACTAGGTAGGGAGGAGGAATGGCTGTGCTGGTGAAAGAACACCTGAAGGTAAGAGTGTTAATATTTGAAAACCCTCGAGATATTAACATAATGGCATTGCAGGTCTGGAATCAGGATGATAAGCTGATAATTTTAAATGCCTACAGCCCATCAGCAAGCAACACATGGACAAAGGAAGAACTGGATGACAAACGAGAGGGCCTCATATTGGTTATGAGATATATTATTGTACAAAGCAGATAAAGATAAAATCACGACTGTGGATACTGGAGGACTTCAACTTTAAAGCAATAAACTGGGAGGCCTATGAAGCAAGAACGGAGGACTTTTGGACATGCAAATTTGTGAACCTCATTCTGGAGACATTCTTGTAAACACATCAAGCAGGCCACAAGAATGAGGGAAGGAGATGTACCGTCAGTATTGGATCTAGTATTCACCAGGAAAGAAGGAGATATTTGACATCCAGTACCTTCCTCCCTTGGGAAAGAGTGATAATAACCTGTTATGACATTAAATATGCTTTAAATATGCCAAAACTATTAGACAGAAGAAAAAGAGGCGATATGATCACTACGTACAAAATAGTAACAGGAATTGATAAGGAAGATTTCCTGAGACCTGGAACTTCAAGAACAAGAGGTTCTTAACCATTAGTTCCCGCATATTACAGCACATATTGGGAGCCTGGTAGCGAAAAATATTTGATTTATGTAAAAATAACTTAAAAATGTTAAACAAGTCTAACTTATTGGCTTAAGTGTCGTGAAATTTGAAGTGTCGCCCACATCAAAATATTTTCAGAAATTGATTTTAGACAAATTTAAAAAAAATGAGAACAGCTCCTAATAACTGCAACGGAATGATAATGCAGTAATGAAGAGATGCAAGCACCTGTCCGACACTCAAAGAAGAAGAATAGCAGAAAGAAGTGTCCACAAAGTGGATATATAGTTGGTGCCTTTATATCATTGCTGATTAATACATAACACAAATAATAATGAGTAACTATATTAATATGCTTTATTTTGTTATATATCATATAAACACATTGTCAAGTGTTATTAATATATGTTAGTGTACTTTCATCAATGTCCGTAAAAAAATTTTATAAGGGGAATTTTTTTTTTTTAAGATTTAATTTCTTTTTCTCCTTTGTTTATTAATCTGATTTTGTTGTAACCTTAACATCCTGGGGAATGCATACATTTCCCTAACTATGTGAAGATAGAATGAAATTGGTCAACAAATAAATCAGTCACAACTCACAAAACTTGGGACTTAATTTTTTTTGGCCGATTTTTTCTCTGATTTCAAACTATTTTCTTTGTCTCTTTAGGTTGATTTAATGATTAGGGATCATGTTAGGGCTTTTTCACTTATATAAAGTATACTCTAAATATATCCCCTAAATCATTATAATTATCCCTATATTTTGTGTTTTAGGGGTTATTTTTTCTTGACTTCATTTCAGCACATATTGACCTACAACTTTCACATATTATAGTACGAATGCCAAACAATGTTTATTAAAACATACAATTAAATTAACGAATTAAAACTACCTTTATTCATTGTTGATAACTTCAACTTCAATTATCTTTGAAACTAGAGTTTCAACTTTGAGTGGCTTCTAAAATTCCAGTTTTTGACCGATTCTCACTAATTTGACATAATGTGTGCTCAGCTGTCTGTTCTACAATCCTTTCTGAATAGATTTTTCATAAACTTTATACATTTGGAGTTATAATTTTTTTGGTCCAAATTTGCCGCATATTTCAAATGCCTTATTGACGATTTTTTTTACAGTAAACTAAACTAAAAACCTATATTCTAATTTGATGAAAATGAAGATCATATGCTATTCTGAGAGAATAATAACATTAAATGAACAATTGGTTTATAGTTCATATTTTTTATTCTGAATTGAAAATCTGAAGTTTTCAATATTCAATTTTAAAATCAATTTTGATTATCTGTTTTTCAAGTTATGCTTTGATCATTTAGACAAAGTTGCAGCATTTGCCTAGTTGATTATGCAAAAAAAAAAAAAAAAAAAAAAAAAAAAAAAAAAAAAAAAAAAAAAAAAAAAAAAAAAAAAAAAAAAAAAAAAAAAAAAAAAAAAAAAAAAAAAAAAAAAATTAGATAGTGTTTGTGTAAGCTTTAAAAACTTACATTAAATTATTTTATGTCAAATCGTATATGTATGTACAGTATTGCGCTGTTGAAGGGTTAATGTTCTAAGGTCCATGTACCCCACACACTGAGCCACATTCAATTATCATTGTCTTCATAATCGACGAATTCACATTTACACATCATTTTGTTCCACCTTTACTATCTATGCTTTCATCTTTTTGTTGCAAGCCATATAAGGTCTTGTGCAACATATCTTAAATCATCAATACATCCTCCACACTTGACATTATATGATCTGATCTAGTTGTTTTGTTAGCATCCATAGGTGTGATTTCTCATTGTCTACCGAGAGACGGATGGTCTGCCACAATCGGGCCTTTCCCAATGTTATAGTGTTCTCTCGTTACAATTTGTTCCAAATCTGCACAAGAAAATAATTCCACATGAGACCAGGAGGCATAATAGGAAGTAAAAAATAAAAATAGGCCAGTTGAAAAGCTGTGATGCAACAGGTACATGGAGACAATTTTATGAACATTAAGGGACCAAGATTTTTCAACACACTCCCATATACTAGTTGACCTAGTTATGGTGTTCAAAAGGGAACATGAGAAACCCCTCCATAGGATACCAGATCCACCAGACTGTGATTCATGTGTCAGACTGCGAGCAGCATCTCACCGCTTGGTTGACCACACCACTAACCAGGAGGCCTGGTCAGAAGCTGGGCTGTGGCAACATTGATCTCCACAATAAAAAAAAACAGGTAGATGA